ATAATATTTCAACTCGAGGAAAAAAAATCTACCATTATTAATTATCTACCATTATTATAATTAATAATGATTTAATTAAATTTAAATTGTAAAAAAAATCTCTATATTTATAAGCACTTTTAAACTACGTACCGTACTTCAGATAAGACAAAAGAAGTATATTGTCATTAATTATATTATGTTTATAAAACTTTATTATAATAAGATATATTTTCATTTCATTTATTTTAATTAAAAAAATATGCAAACTAAACGTTAATATATAATCTAAAAATTACTTAAAAATCGTTTTATATTACTATATCTTGATGAATTGTTGTAAATATTTACAATATATCGAAGTGCCTAATGTAGATGAAACACTAAATACTTTTGAATTATTATAAAATATATAATCTTGTTATCAAAAATAAAATAAAATATATATAATCTGTATCAAAGAAGTTTTCAATTCAATTCAAGAATACGTTTTAGATAAAATTATCAGATAAAAAATTATTAAATGTTTTGTGTAAACCGTCTCTCATATTATGCATAAAAACTTGAGTATAGGTGTATAGCATTAGTATTTCATTCTTATTGTTACTTTTGTTTATGTGTTTATTATTTCTCAACACACATAAAAATGTATAGGCTTCATATTTTTTCTTTTTCTCTCTTTGCCTTACTTAAGTCCACATGAGTCCTACACATTTAAATTTTATATGTGTAAAAGATAAATTTATCTTTTACAATATGAAAAACATTATACTTTTATTTATTTGTATGTGCAAAATTGATTTTGGTATTAAACGACTTGCAGATAATTAACCGATTTAGTATCACTAATAGAAAAGTTATAATTTTCGACGAAATTTTTTCACTAAAAATAGATTTCGAGGAAATTTTTTGACGAAAAACGAATTCTGTAAAATTTTTTATTAAAAATAAATAAAAAAGAAATTATATTTTCTAATTTTCGATAGAAAAAGAATTTCGTCAAAAATGTTATAAAAAAGAAATTATATTTTGTGAATTTTTCGACGGAAAATGAATTCCGTCCAAAACTATATAAAAAATAAATAAATAAAATTTATATTTCTTAATTTTCGACGAAAAATTAATTCTATCGAAAAATTTATAAAAACAAATAAAAAAAGTTATATTTATGAATTTTTTGATAGAATATTAATTCTGTCGAAAATTTTATAAAAAATAAATAAATAAAAATTATATTTTGTGAATTTTTTGACAGAAATTATATTCCGTCAAAATTTTCATAAATATAATTTCTTTTTTAATTTATTTTTTACAATGATTTTTGAAGGAATTCATTTTCTGTCAAAAAATTTCTACGGAAAATGAATTCCATCACAAACCTTATAAAAAAGTAAATAAAATATATTTATGAAGTTTTTGAAGAAATTTATTTTTCGTCGAAAATCATTGTAAAAAAATAAATCAAAAAAGAAATTATATTTGCGAAAATTTTGACGGAATATAATTTCTGTCGAAAAATTCACAAATATACAATATATAAGTGAAATATCTTTTCATTGTATTTTTTGTGGAATATTGACCAGATAGCCATATTTATGATATCTTTTACCAATATTCTACGCGAACAAATTTTTTCTTCCAAACTGCTACGTTGAAATTCGCTACGTCTTGTTACGAACTTGGTAGCTAATGTGTCCAATTTTGCTACGACTTGTAGCGAACTTGGTAGCCAATAATTTCATGACACCTGGCAGAAAAATTAACTGGACTAAGTTCGCTACTAGGGATAGCTGGTAGCAAACTTGGTGGGCTATATGGCACAATCCCATTGTCCGATCAGAATTAATGTACCAATCACAATAAAAGTTATTACTGGCAGAGAAAATTCCTATTTAATTAATGTATCAATCATAATTAAAGTACTAATCACCAATCACAATTAGTGTACTAATGAGATTAATTTTGATTGTACCAATCACCAATCACTTTGGAAGGCCATAACTTTTGATTCGGATATCCAAATCAGATGATTTTTTATTTTATTTCACATAACTTTTTGAGATATACTCAATAACACATCATTTTTTATATTTTATCTCTCACAAATATCATTCGAATTTGTAACAATAGAAAAAAATAATTAATGTACCAATCATCAATCACAATTAATGTACCGATCACCCAATTTCAGCTTTGATACATTTTTTATATGTTAAGTAAATTTTTTAAATTATTATCATCAATTTTTTTTTAAAATTATACATATTTTCACCTATTTTATAAATTTATTTATTTTACATATTGTCACATAATTAATTTATTTCAGGGTTATAATAGTCTTTTTTATTATAATTTTTTAATTTTCAACCCAAAACGACATCGTTTTTGAAAAAAATATAGATAACTTATCTACATTCACCGTAGAAACATTAAATCCATAAAAATATCATAAATTCGATTTAAGATAGATTTTGGTTTCTCTACTTGCGTAAAAATATTTAAGGGTTGAATTGAAATTAAGTTGAAAATGATTAAAATTGAAAAGTTGGTTTTAAATTTAAATCAATTTTGATTCTCTGTACTAAAATAATTAGACAAAAAAATTCAACCAAATTTATTTTATTAAGAAGATATTAACTGAGAGAAGATCAAATTATAGATTAAAAGAGTTATATTTTATCTTAAACACAATAGCTTTGGTACTATTATAAAAATAGACCTTTGATACACAATTTGCATATAAAAAATATGAAAGAAAAAATAAAATACTTTGAATCAAAGACCAGAGCTGAACGTGAATGTCCCACGCACAGTACTGAATCTGAAGATAAATTTCTTGTATGTTTTATTTTTATATTTTGAATTGCATTTGATTCCTCATAATAAATTATTCTTCAAATTTTGAGATTGTGAATTATCTTTTACGGCAAAATTATTATTAAAAAAATTATATTTATTTAAATTGAAAAATATTTATTTTTTTAAAGAATATAATTTTATGTTATTTTAGACAAAATAACATGTTAATTAATATTTAACTTTACTTCTTCAAATTTATATTTATTTAAATGAAAAAATATTTATTTTCTTAAAGGATATAATTTTGTGTTATTTTAGATAAAATAACATGTTAATTAATATTTAACTTTACTTCTTCAATTTTAATTTTTTTAATTAATATATCATTGGAAGAATTTTATTTCTTTGATGTTTGTGTAAATATTTGGACACATGGCAACCGGAGACAAAATGCTTAAACATAATATATATGTGCAAATTATAAAAGGTACTGCCACGTGGCAGTGTATTCCCCTAACAAACTTGCACAATTGAATAATTGTTTTAATTAATTTTTGCAATGAGTAATTAACCCTAATTAATATGTGATGGGTATTTGAGTTATCATGATTGATGTAAGTGTATTGATGCAAATGTAAATCAATTCGATTATTGGTTTTTTTTTTTTGAAAGTCTAAATCTATTTATGATATTTCATTTATTTTGACTGATTATGAAAACGAATTAATTAAGTCTAATTAGCATCCAATTGATATTTGAACTATCATATGATTGATTTATATAATATTTTAAAAAAAGTAAAAAAATTTAATTGAACATTTGATTATATTTTTAAATTTTTGTCTATCAACCTTTTAATTATGGTAATATGTTTTTAAAAAAGATATAATTTTTTATTTGAACATTTGATTATATTTTTTTCCCCATCAACTCTTTAATTATGAATTCTTCCATGATGCTAAGAACAAACATTTTAGCATAAACTATAGAAAACCGAATCGCTCCATGCACATCACTTATGCTTAATAACAGCCGGGTAACAAGGAAATATTATTCATATACCAAGAAAAGTAGCAATATTATAAATTACACAAAGTCATCAATTCAAAGAATAAATTTTAATATAACATTAGCAGAACTCATCAAGTGGTGATGGCTACTCTTTATTCTCACACTCTATAACATTAGCAGAACTCATCTAGCTAGCTCTTGATCCAAAGAATGCTCGACATCCATTTCAAATTCTACGCATAGCTGCACATTCCGTAAACACATGAACCTCCAGTGTTGCACTTGTTGCCACATTTCCCACAGTTTTTCTTGTTATAAAACTCATTACGTGCTATATGTATACATGCATTTGTATGTGTAGCTGGATTAGAATTAGTATTAGAGGGTACAGTGCTTATGTTACGGAGAATTTAGTTCCTCATGAGTCCTTAGTAATAACTTGGTCAAGACAGAACTTAATTAGGAGTTAAGAATATCAAGAGTGCCTGGCTTAATACAGCCCACTGTTAGTACTACTTATTAGCACGACACAAATCTAGCCCCATGGGATGACAAAACGTATTACTGGTTGGATTCGTGACTTATAAAGGTTTGATCCGTAACTAAAATTGTTTAATTTGAAATGACATTTATTTTTTTTAAAGTCAAAAATTAAAATTGGAATACGACATGTCATGGGTCACAGATCGCATAATTAAGTCGAAAAACAAAAATTGAATTTTTTAAGTATTTTAATTTTTTTTAATTAAAATAACAAGAAAGCATAAATGGAATGTGTGGGTTGAATCATAACCCAGATCGTGTCAAAATTATCAAAAATTTCAATATTCTTTTGATCAAAAAAAATATACTCAGGAATTAACACATAAATCAACCTGTAAAATGGTATGATGATAATTCATGTTATTTTTACAACGCATTTTAACGTGTCGCATGAGCCGAATAACGGATCTAGATCCATTTTACCACCTACTGATTCCTGATACTGTAGTCCATTTTTACGAAGCCTTGAAAAATAAAAGTTCCAAAAAAAAAAAAAAACAGAGAAGTATATAAATTAATCATCATATTAATCAAATGATAATGACATAGATAGAAAAGTTGTAAACGATTTAATGCAGGAAACACTGGTATGAGAAACCATTAAACCCAAGAAAGTATCACATTATTGAATTATGTCACTGGTCTCTTTTGGGTTTGAGGGAATGATCTCAGTAAGGTCTTTCTCCAACATAGTTACCAGGAGGATCATAGTTGCAAGTGATGAACGTACCCTTATCACCAGTGCAAGTAACACTGGCACAACCAACGTTCATTGTGGTGTTCCACACAATCTGAGTATAATGTCCACACATCTGTCCTTCAGCACAAGAATTAAGGTCGTAATTGTACCATTGCACCTCTTCAACCCAAGCGTTGACAGCTTGTGCTGGGGTCCACCCTGCTCCGCCACCCCAGAATATATTTTCACCATATGGCCCGTTGGAGTGTTCAAGGGCACAGTCATTGCGCCTTATATTCGCATACCACTGCGCGTAACTTTCCAGTTTTGCGCTCCACACCAATGGTGGCACTCTGACCTTGGACCGAGCAGCATTCTGAGGAATCACAAATTGATCTGCAAAGCTTCTTTCTTGTTCTTGATCTGGGTAAGCATTCTGGGGAATTGAGAATTGTTCTGCAAAGCTTATTTGTTGTTTTTGGTCTAGGATCCTAGCATGGGTGGTTGCAACAAGCAATAGAAACAGGGTGATGAAACACATCAGGCTTATAGAACGTGTGGAAATGGAATAACTCATTTTGATGTGGCTATGGAGATTTGAGCAAGGAGAGAATTTGGAAGAGATGTCAACGTAATTTTTATATATATAATACAAAACCTAGCATCAGAGACTTGATGAGAATGAGATCTGCGTTGTTAATTGTTGTTTCACGCGTGTAGGTTAATGAGGCCGGGATTTCCTTTTTCAGCAGATTAGCTGCCATTTTTATTCTCCATGAATGAATAGTGTGTAACATCTTAATATTTAATCAATGTAAACTTCAACGTTAGGATAATTTCATATTTAAAATCATACGAAAATATTGGTAGATGAGAAATTTTTTTGTTCCTGGAATCACTATTCCTAGGGATATGATAGGAAAATGAATTTTTCAAAAATATTACCATTTGATAGACCTAGATTGTCAATAATTTCTTAGAATATGGGCTGATTATATAAAACTAACATTTAATGAATTTTTCAACAACAAAAAAAATGATATGTCATAAAAGGGTCAAAATGATCAAATTCAAATTTCACAAATGAATTTGACCGGTCTCAAATGGCTAGGGCTTTAACAAAGATAATATTTTAATCATGAAGATATTAAAGCAGGATTATTTATGTCTTATAAATTATGTAAAAAATTTCCACCATATGGGAATCCAAAAATACCATCCATCTGGTGGTACTATTTCAAGAAAATCTTATTCACAATTTTAATTTCCAATAATCTCATTTTTTCAGTAAAATATTAAGAATACTTGTACCTAACACGGATAACTAGGATTCCCAATGTGAGTTTCCTGAAAATTTAAAATTTATCCTTCCACCAAACGACCTCTAAAAAGTATATATAAAATCCTATCTCTTATACATCATTTCCTAATATAATGAAATTAAAACACAAATAAAAAGAGTAAATTAATAATTACAATAATCAATTCTAATTAATAAAATACTAAAACTGATTAATCTATTCAATCTCTAATATTAAGGCTTTGATTTCTTTCCTAAAATATAATATTTTGTTTGATTGAATCACTACAATTACAAATCAGAAATATGCACCAAACCTCAGTACAAAAAATATGATAATTTTTTTTACCTGAAATGAAAATATGATAAATAATATTTAAACTCACGCAAGAAAATACTCTCCCATTATTATAATTAATAATGATTCAATTAAAAGTAAATTAAAAAAATCTGTACATTTTTAAGCATTTATAAACTATGTACCGTAATTGAGATAAGACAAAAGAATGATATTGTCATAAATTATATTATGTTTATAAAAAATTATTATTATAATATATTTTCATTTTATTTATTTTTAATTTAAAAATATACAAATTAAACGTTAATATATATAATCTGAAAATTACTTTAGAACTTGTTTTATATTACTATATCTTGATAAATTATTGTAAATATTTACAATATATTTTTTTTTCGAAGTGCCTAATATGGATGCATGTAGATGAAACACTAAAAACTTTTGAATTATTGCAAAATTTTATTTATATAAGCTATATAGAATACGTTTTCAATTCAATTCAAGAATAGGTTTAGATAAAATTATCAGATAAAAAATTATTAATTGTTTAGTGTAAACCATATGTGGGAGTGAGATAAGATTCTTTGACACTGGTGTCAAATTAAAATGATTATAATCTATTCGGTCATATTTATTAATAAATTTTTTATTCTTAATAAATTATAACCAACAAATTAACAGAAATCAACATTAATGGTGTCAACTAATCCTCTCTCTATACTAATATTACCATCATATTATGTATAAAAACTTGAGTATGGGTCTAGCATTAGTATTTCATTCTTATTGTTACTTTTGTTTATTTGACTGTGCAAAATTGATTTTGGTCGTAAACGAATTGTAACTAGGGGTGAAATTGGGTCGGATCAGTCTACAGGGGCATACGGCTCGACCTACGTTAAGTTAGACCCGACCTAGTATATTTCATAAAATAGGCTAGGCTTGTGTCTTGAAAAGTCATGTTTCACAAGGCCTGGTCTCTAAGCCTACAGGCTGGCCTATATTGTACTATTTATTTATAATAAAATAAAATAGAATAAATATGCATTGAAGATAAAAACAAAAGATATAATTTTTTTTTTTTATAACAAAAACAAAAGATATAAATTTAATCAATTGCAATTATTTATAACTTAATTATATTCCATTATATTTTAATATAAATCTGACTTTATTTCTTATGTATGAGGAACTAACATCTCAGCATTTTAGATTGTGTATATGAATATATTAACAAGTTTTTGGGAGAGGTTATACTTACTACAAGCATCATGATGTGTTTGCTGGATTCATGTAGTAATTTTAATTTACATAGTATGGATTTGTTTGTTTGGATCTGATGAAATATATGTTATTTAGTTTGAGCATTTTGCTTTTGAAAGTGACTTAAATGCAGATTCTATGAGTTTTGTTGTGAATTATGATTCTGTTTAATTTGGACGTTGAAATTATGATTTTTGATTTTGCAACAGAATTTGAGTATTTTGTAAAGTTGATTCATGATTTAACTTGAAAGTTAAAAATTAACAGGCTAACGGACTAGGCCAGGCCATCTATTTTTTTTATAAACAAGCAAAATCAGGCCAACAGTTAGACTCGTATCAGGCTTGAGCCAGGTCAAATTAAAATTTTTTGGCACAGGCTTGGACTTTTCAGGGCAAAGCTTGAACCAGCCCAACTTACTTTCACCCCTACTTGTAGCTAATTAATAACCAAACTTTGGCTCATAAACACAAAAGTATTGTACACGCTTTCTTAAAAAGATTATATTCGGGGGAATTCTTGGTAGAATTCTTTTCAGAGGAAGAAGAGATTCTTCCGATTTAGTATATCGAAAGAATTTTATTGCTTTGATGTTTGTGCAAATATTTGGACGCATGGCAACCGGAGGTAAAATGCATAAACATAAGAGTGAAATGCTATAATCTATGCCGTAATATGAGCTGATCTATATTTTGTTTTCTAATTTCTCCCATTATTGAATACAAGTGTATATATATATAATACAAGTATATATATATATATATATATATATATATATATATATATATATATATATATGTCAGCTTAAAGAAGAAAATGAATATATATCAAAATTGTTGTACAACAATCCACATTGATTTAAATGGTAAAATATTATTTCTTTTAATCACAGATTTCGAATTTGAGAATGAAAAAAAATTGTTTTGGGAGAATTCCCCTATAATGGGTCTCATAATATTTGAATTGAATTAGTGAGGTAATCACTAAACCGGTAAATATATTTAAAAAAACTACAAAACTACAGTAGAAAATACAAGCTATGAATTTTCTATAAAAACTGTCACGTTTGCAGCTCTATGCAAATTATCCAACCACTTAAATATATAAAGGAAAAGATTATATTTACAAAATTTTTGTTTGCAAACTCTTATAATTATATTATATTTTATCAGTAAGAAACTCTTGAGTGAAATCTTACCAATAAGATATAGTGTAGTTTATAAGTTCATAAAAAAAATTATGAATATAAACCTTCTGAAAGGCTTAAGACTTAAGATTAAAAGCATACTTGTATAACACAGATGTGGAGTCCATTAGAAAATTAGAGAATTATATAAATGAAAAACATAAATGAAAAATGTTTTAAAAATTATATAAAAAACTTTATATATATATATATATATATATATATATATATATATATATGAGGTAGGATCCTTTGACACCTCATCTGAGAGCCGTTAGATCAAAAAAGATCAACGACTATGATTTGTAAGCATGTGACACCATTGATCTTTTTTAATCTAACGGCTCTCAGATGAAGTGTCAAATTTAGATTTAGATTTCGGTATGATTTAGGTTGTTGACAAGTCTTGGAACTGTCCTTAAGAATCACCTCATCAATGGTGTAACTGTGTAAGTACAATTTCTATTGCCTCTAAGGCTTTGTTTTAGAATTTGGAGAGGAAGGGAAGAAAGGCAATTCAAAAGGAAGGAAAGAAAATTGGAGGATATTACCTTCCCTTATTTGAGAGTTAAGAAAATGTAAGATAGAAAAATGAATGGTTAATGAGATACTTTTACCATTTTAACCTTTTTTTAATTAATATAATTGTTATATTTTATAAATTAAATTAAATTTAAAATTTTTAACAAAATTATTTATGTATTTTTCACACTACTAAAAAAGATGATATTTTCTACGAAATTTCTACGTTGCAAACGAAAAAAATTCTATCGAAAAATATTTTTCGATGAAATACTTTTCGTTCAAAGGCGACGGAAATTTTTATCTGTACAAAATTTTGACGAAATTTAGTTTACGTCAAAAGTTTTAACGAAAAAGATTTCTTAAATATTTTCGACAGAAAAAATAATTCCGTCCAAAAATTTTGACGAAATATTTTCCGTTCAAAATTTTTTATGGAAATGTGTTCCGACGAAAATTTCGACGAAAATTTTTTTGGTCAAACTTTTTGAGGGAAATGTTTCTATCGAAACTTTCGACGAAATTTAGATTTCGTAAAGAATTTTGACAAAATATTTCTTCGTCGAGATTTTTTGTAGAAATATTTTTCATTAAAAACTTTTACGGAAATATTTTTTGTAAAAATGTTCGATGGAAATGTGTTCCATTGAAAACTTTGAGGAAAATATCTTTCTTTGAAAAATTTTACGGATTTTTTTTGTCAAAATTTTAAGGGAAATGTTTTAACGGAATTTGAATTCCATAAAGAATTTTGACAAAAAAAAAAAAGTTTCGTCGAAATTTTTTACAAAAAAATTTTTTGTCAAAAAATTAAATGGAAATTTTTTCCCTTAAAAATTTTGATGGTAATGTTTTTGTCAAAAAATTTGACGGAATTATTTTCTGTCGAATTTTTTATATGGAAATGTGTTTCATCAAAAATTTTGACAGAATTATTTTTTGTCAAAAGTTTCAACTGAATTTAGATTCTATCAAAAGTTTATGTGAGTATTTATGACAAAATCTTGTTACGTCTCCAATTTCGACGTAATATGATTTTCGTCAAAAACTTCATCATTATTTTTGACATAATATTTTTCGTTAATAAATTTTGTCTATATTTAAGGCTTTTTGAATACTGTCATATTTAAAAATAATTCACATTTATATTATTTTCATATTTTAAAATTAAAGGTAGATAAATAATTTTCAATATTTCTAATGAATTTGTTATTGTTAATTTGTTACATTGGATTGTCGAATACGGACAGCAGATTTTGGACATATAAGTGACTTGCTTCTTGAGACACGTGGAATTTTTCTGGAACGTACTATGGTGGGCACTAGCATAGCATCCCATAATAATGTGGACAAAAGAACTCACGGGCACAACAGAGACCAAACTCACGGGAGAACCTTCAATCATCGATCCCAGAGAATAATGCAAAATTCCCCCTCCTTCATCCCTCTGATGCGTTTCACTTGCGCTCAACAGATCCACAACAACAACCTGATACATTAAAATATTAATCACCCACTTATCTATTGGCGATTGTTCCTCACAGCATCTAAGTCGCAAGTGATTTAACTCTCCACAACACTCAGCCAGTCTCCAACCACACATTCTTGAACTAAGTTCGCATATAAATTAAGGCACAAAACTCAAAATTCTGTGCCACCCACAACACAAGGTAATCTAGTTCGAGTATTGAAATGAAATCCCATTTGGTCCTCTTCTTGTTCCTTATAGTCACCTTCACTGGCAACACTCTCTCAGCCAATCCCCAATCTACTTCTCAGGTTCCTCAACATGACCAATTGACCCAGCAGAAAAGGCTTGATAATGAGACCATATACAGGGTTTCAAAGCAATTATGCTGGGGCTGCATTGCAGAGTCACTAGAATTCTTGTTCAGGCATAACATGGTTAGAGCAGTAAAGTGGGAGCTTCCACTTGTGTGGGACTTTCAGCTTGAGCAATATGCAAGGTGGTGGGCTACCCAAAGGAAAGCAGATTGCAAGCTTGAACATTCTTTCCCAGAAAATGATTTCAAGTTGGGAGAGAACATATATTGGGGTAGTGGCTCAACATGGACGCCAACGGATGCTGTAAGAACATGGGCCGATGAAGAGAAATACTACACGTACGCGACTAACACTTGTGAAGCTGGCCAGATGTGTGGCCATTACACTCAAATTGTGTGGAAGAGCACCAGAAGGATTGGATGTGCACGTGCTGTATGTGATAGTGGAGATGTGTTCATGACTTGTAACTATGACCCTGTCGGCAATTATGTTGGAGAGCGACCATATTAAAATTATTACGTGCTATGTATACCTGCATTTTTATATGTAGCTCGATTGGAATTCGTATTAGAAGGTACAGTGCTTATGTTATGGAGAATTTAGTTCCTCATATGAGTCCTTAGCAGTAAGTATATTGGTATAAATTGTAGGAATGCATATATATGTGGGAAGTGGGAATGATTATGGGTTTGGCTTTAATCATTAATTAGTTCTTGAAACAATTAATAAGTTAAAAGTAACAAGAAAGTAAAGGGTATCATTAGTTGGGGACCGTTGCTGCTTGAGGTTATGTTCGTTAGTTGAGTCGAGACTGAAATAAAATATTTATCCTCCCATGTGAAATATGCCGGCTTGTGTTGTATGTATATGACTTGTTTTTCAGGTAGTCTTGTTTATTTACCTTAATTTGTGGACAACTGATTAATTTATATATATATATATATATATATATATATCCCCAAACTCAGTCCATTTTTTCCCCATCTCTCGTAAATGAATAAAGTTTACCTACCCATAATGTGGATTACACTAATATATATATGGGATAGGATATTGTGACACACAAATAATGTTACGCACAATGTTACGACCACATCTTAACCGTTGATTTCCGTCAATCAACGGTTAATATTTGAGACTACGTATCTTCTCGTACTCTTTAAAATTAGTTTCAATTTAAACAAAAATCCTTTTTAATTAACAGTGTAGTTTTATTTTTACCTCAGGAAATACGGGGCTTTTTTTAGCGTTAGGTTAAAAGATTCAAAAAATATTGTAAGTTGGTGAGGCTTCTAATTTATTTATCGATTTGGTGAAGCTGGATCTAACATCTTTACTATTGTAATTATCCTGTCCAAATTTCACTCCCTTTCCTATTTTCCTCATTTTATAATTTATTTTACGTAAATAACAAATAATATTTAATAATTGTATAACAAACTAGTTCATACAAAAACTTAAACAGTTAAATAAATGTTATATTAATAATTTTTACATCATATTTTTTAATATATCAGGTCACACGAGCTCATAAATCCATAAAACTTAAAAGATGACAATGAATCCCTCTCTTTTATATTGATTGTACCGTATTGCTGATTCTGGGGACCAAATCTCTATTTTTTAACTCAGCCCTAATTATTTTTCACATGAGAATAATCTCTTTAAGCCTTAAAAGAAAATTAATATAATTTATATGCATCTCCTCTCCAAAAAGCTTCTCGGGATTACGTAACTAAAGAAAATTAATATAATTTATATGCATCTCCTCTCTTTAAAGTCCTTGTAGGAGTTGGGTTTGCAGACTGCAATATGCAAACTCCACAGACGTGACAGTTTTTATTATAAAGAATCTTGAGATACACCACCCCAAAAGCTAGTTCAAAGGGTGAGAGTGTCCAAGGTCTTATAAAGGCTACATTAGTTGCACATACAATACAATGTGAGATTATATATCTCAACACGTTTGAAAATTGGTAGCTTGTATGCACTACAGCGAATATGATATATACTCAATTTCTTCTTATTCTATTTCCTTTTTAAGTAAATGTATACTTAATTTCAGTATAGTAGAAATTAGAAAATAAAATATAGATCAGAATATTACGGTATAGATTACAGCATTTTAGTCATTGTGGTAAACATACGCGTATACTAATTTTACGAGCATCCAAAATATAATTGAGCTTGCAAATTATTACAAGTAACATATTAATTAGTGGGGATGTAATTAAATGGGACCAATCAGTGTAACTTGGTCAAGACAGAACTTAGGAGTTAAGAATATCAAGAGGGCTGGCCTGCCATAACACAGCCCACGGTTAGTACTTATTAGCACGACACAAATCAAGCCCCATAGGATGGCAAAAAGTATTACTGGGTTGGATTCGTGACATATAAAGGTTTGATTCATAACTAAATTTAATTTGAAATGACATTTATTTATTTACGAGTCAAAAATTAACATTGGAATACGACATGTCATGAGTCACAGAGCATGAGTTGAAAGCAAAAATTAAAAATTAATTTTTTTTTAAATATTAAAATTGCAAGAAAGCATAAATGAAATGGGTAGGACTGTAGGTTGAATCATGATCCCGGTCGTGTTAAAATTATAAAAAAATTCAATATTTTTTTTGGACCAAAAAAAATACAGGGATTAACACATAAATCTTCCGTAAAACAATGTGATAATAATTCGTGTTATTTTTGCAATGCATTTTGGCATGTCATGTCGCGCGGGATGAATAAATCAATTTTACCACCCATATTGATTCCTAATACTAGATATAGTCAATTTTTACGAAGCCTTGAAAAATAAATATTCCAAAAAACAAAATAGAGAAGTATATAAATAAATCATTATATTAATCAAACGATAATGACATGGATAAAACAGTTGTAAACGATTTAATGCAGGAAACACAGTTCTAGGAAACCATTAAACCCACAAGGCAAATAGATAACGAGTCAGCCAGCCAACGCATCATATATTGAATTATGTCACTGGCTACTCCACTTTTGGGTTTGAGGGAATATACATATCAGTAAGGTCTTTCTCCAATGTAGTTGCCAGGAGGATGATAATTGCAAGTGATGAAGGTACCCTGATCACTAGAGCAGGTAACATTAGCGCAGCCAACCTTCCTAGTGTTGTTCCACACAATCTGAGTATAATGACCACACATTTGTCCTTCATCACAAGAATTAAGATTGTAATTGTAATATTGCTCCTCTTCGGCCCAAAGCTTGACAGCTTGTGCTGGGGTCCACCCAGCTCCGCCACCCCAGAATAGGTTCTCACCGTATCGCCCGTTGGAATGCTCGAGGGCGCAGTCATTGCTTCTCTGGTTTGCATACCACTGTGCGTAGCGTGTTAGTTTTGCGCTCCACACCAATGGTGGCACTCTGACCTTGGACCGTGCAGCATTATGGGGAATCAAGAACTGGCTTGCAAAGCTTCTTTCTTGTTCTTGGTCTGGGTCAGCATTCTGGGGAATTGAGAATTGTTCTGAAAAGCTTATTTGTTGATTTTGGTCTAAGATCCTAGCATGGGTGGTTGTAACAAGCAACAGAAACAGGGCGACAGTGATGGTGATGAAACACATCAGGCTCATAGAGTGTGTGGAACTGGACTGGCTCATTTTGGTGTGGCTAGCTATGGAGATTTGAGCAAGGAGAGAATGCTTTACTACTTGCTTGGAACTTGGAAGAGATGTAAACGTAGTGTGTGTATATATAATATAAGGAAAACCCTAGCATCAGAGACTTGATGAGAATGAGATCTGCGTCGCTAACTGTTGTATCACGCGTGTAGGCTAATCAGGCCGGGATTTCCTTTTCTAGCAAATTATCTGCCGTTTTTATTCTCTATGATTGAATAGTGTGTGACAATTTTAATATTTTAATCAATGTAAAACTCCAACGATGGGATAATTAGCATCAGAAACTTGATGAGAATGAGATATGTGTTGTTAACTGTTGTTTCACGCGTGTAGGCTTATCAGGTCGGGATTTCATTTTTTAGCAGATTATCTGCCATTTTTATTCATTGAATAATGAATAGTGTTAAAATAGAAGCAATACAATTACAAATCAGAATTATGCACCAATCATGCACACACACACAAAAAATTATGCACCAACCATGTAAAAAAATAAAAATAAATTATGCACCAACCCTCGTACAAAAAATATGATAAAATTTTTTTACCTGAAATGAAAATATAATAAATAATATTTAAACTCGAGGAAAAAAATCTACCATTATTATAATTAATAATGATTTAATTAAATATAAATTGAAAAAAATATTCTCTATATTTATAAGCACTTTTAAACTATGTACCGTAATTCAGATAAGACAAAAGAAGTATATTGTCATTAATTTTATTATAATAAGACATATTTTCATTTCATTTATTTTAATTAAACAAATATGCAAACTAAACGTTAATATATAATCTAAAAATTACTTTAAAAATCATTTTATATTACTATATCTTGTTGAATTGTTGTAAATATTTACACTATGTTGAAGTGCCTAATGTAGATGAAACACTAAATACTTCTGAATTATTGTAAAATTTTATTTATATAATCTGTATCAAAGAAGTTTTCAATTCAATTCAAGAATAGGTTCTAGATAAAATTATCAGATAAAAAATTATTAAATGTTTAGTGTAAACCGTCTCTCATATTATATTCTCATCATATTATGCATAAAAACTTGAGTATAGGTGTATAACATTAGTATTTCATTCTTATTGTTACTTTTTTTTATGTGTTTATTATTTCTCAACACAGATAAAAATATATGAGGTTCATATTTTTTCTTTTTTTCTCTTCGCCTTACTTAAGTCCACATGAGTCCTACACACTTAAATTTTATATCTGTTTAAAATATAAATTTATCTTTTACAATATGAAAAACGTTAAACTTTTATTTATTTGTATGTGCAAAATTGATTTTGGTATTAAACGAATTGCAGAAAATTAACCGATTTAGTATCACTACTACAAAAGATATAATTTTTGACGGAATTTTTCAACGGAAAATAGATTCCGTCGAAATTTTTTGACGGAAAATGAATTTCGTAAATTTATTTAGTAAAAATAAATAAAAATTTAATTATATTTGTGAATTTTTGACGAAAAAAGAATTCTGTCAAAAATGTTATAAAAAATAAATAAATAAAAAGTATATTTGTGAATTTTTCGAAGGAAAATGAATTTCGTCGAAAACTTTATAAAAAATAAATCAAAAAAAAATTATATTTCTGAATTTTTCTATGGAATATTAATTTCGTCGAAAACTCTATAAAAAATAATTCAAAAAAAATATATTTGTGAATTTTTCTATGGAATTTCATTTTCCTCCAAAAAGTCATAAATATAATTATATGTGATCTATTTTTTATAATGATTTTCGAAGAAATTCATTTTCGGTCGAAAATTTTCGACGGAAAAAGAATTCTGTGAAAACCTTATAAAAAAATTAAATCGTAAAAGAAATTATATTTATGAAGTTTTCGACGGAATTCATTTTTCGTATTTTCGACGAAAAATGAATTCCGTCAAAAACCATTGTAAAAAATAATTTGGATTGAAAAATTCACAAATATACAATATATAAGTGAAATATCTTTTCATTGTATTTTTGTGGAATAGTGACCAGATTGCCATATTTATGATATCTTTTACCAATATTCTATGCGAACAATTTTTTTCTTCCAAACTGCTACGTTGAAATTCGCTACGACTTGTAACGAACTTGGTAGCTAATGATATAGTAACAAGTGACACACATTCACAGGAAAAGCTGACTTCTACGTGTTCAATTTCGCCACGACTTGTAGCGAACTTGGTAGCCAATAATTTCGTGACACGTGGCAGAAAAGTTGATTGGACTAAGTTCGCTACTAAGGGTAGCTGGTAGCAAACTTGGTGGCTATATAGCACAATCCCATTATCCGATCAGAATTAATGTATCAATCACAATAAAAATAATTACCGGTAGAGAAAATGGCTATTTAATTAATGTATCAATCATAATTAATGTACCAATCCCCAATCACAATTAATGTACCAATGAGATTAACTTTTGATTGTACCAATCACTAATCACTTCGGAAGACCATAACTTTTGATTCAGATATCCAAATCAGATGATTTTTTATTTTATTTCTCATAACTTTTTGAGATTTCGCAATAACACCTCATTTTTTATATTTATTTCTCACAAATATCATTCAAATTTGTAAAAATGGTATAAAAATAATCAATGTACCAATCACCAATCACAATTAATGTACCGATCACCCAATTTTAGCTTTGATGCATTTTTTATATGTCAAGTAAATTTTTTAAATTATTAGCATCAATTTTTTTTTGAATTATACATATTTTCACTATTTTATAAATTTATTTATTTTACATATTGTCACATAATTTATTTCAGGGTTATAATAGTCTTTTTATTATAATTTTTTAATTTTTCAACCTAAAACGACGTTATTTTAGGAGTATAGATAACTTATCTATATTAATTGTAGAAACATTATATAAGAACCCGCACCGTTAATTAAGGAAATTGATCAGTTAATTATGAGTTTAATGAGATAATTTCATAATTGACCCTAATAATTATTATGAGGCTCTAATAATTATAGTAAGTGAGTAATAATGCTGAAAGTCGCTTTTCTGACGAAAAGTGCAGATACCGGTTCTGCTAGTCGGTATAAATGCGTACCGATAAAGTATCCCAGAAAATTATAATAAGTACTTGATAATTACTAGAATAACATGTAGGACTTGTAAAACGAGTTTCAAGTTAAAATAATGAGAACTGGTACCAGAAACTGGTAATGGCTATGGAAAGCGCGTACCAGAAAGTGCTCGAAAAAATATAAGAAAAATATGATAATTTTTTCGAGCCAACATGCGAGCCAACCCTAACCCAGCTCGGGTCGGGTTGGATTGTGTTTTATGGCTCGTTTATTTTTCGAGTCAACCCTAACTCGACTCGTTTTTTTCGAGTTGAACGCGGATTGGATCGGGTTGAGCTGGGTTGGCCCGTTTTGCCAAGCCTAGGACCTGCCATAACACAGCCCACGGTTAGTACTTATTAGCACGACACAAATATAGCCCCATGGGATGGCAAAACGTATTACTAGGTTGGATTCGTGACGTAGAAAGTTTTGATCCGTAACTAAAATTAATTTGAAATGACAATTATTTATTTACGTACGAGTCAAAAATTAACTTTGGAATACGACATGTCATGACTCATGAGTCACAGAGCATGAGTTGAAATCAAAAATCAAAAATTTAAATTTTTTAAACAATTAAAATAGCAAGAAACATAAATGGAATGTGTGGGTTGAATCATGATCCCGGTCGTGTTAAAATTATAAAAAAATTCAAAAAAAAAATGTTGGACCAAAAAAAATTCAGGGATTAACACATAAATCACCCGTAAAACAATATGATAATAATTCGTGTTATTTTTCAATGCATTTTTTTGGCATGTCATGTCGCGTGGGATGAATAATGGATCTCAATCCATTTTATCACCCATATTGATTCTTAATACTATATATAGTCAATTTTTACGAAGCCTTGAAAAATAAAAATTCCAAAAAAAAAAAAAATAGAGAGGTATATAAATTAATCATTATATTAATGAAACGATAATGACATATATAGAGAAGTTGCAAACGATTTAATGCAGGGAACACAGGTCTAGGAAATAATTAAACCCACAAGGCAAACAGATAATGAGTACTCTGTCACATTGTTGAATTATGTGACTCGCTAATCGGGAATCTCAGTAAGGTCTTTCTCCAATGTAGTTGCCAGGAGGATGATAATTGCAAGTGATGAAGGTACCCTGATCACCAGAGCAGGTAACGCTAGCGCAGCCAACCTTCCTAGTGTTGTTCCACACAATTTGAGTATAATGACCACACATTTGTCCTTCATCACAAGAATTAAGATTGTAATTGTAATATTGCTCCTCTTCGGCCCAAAGCTTGACAGCTTGTGCTGGGGTCCACCCAGCTCCGCCACCCCAGAACAGGTTCTCACCGTATCGCCCGTTGGAATGCTCGAGGGCGCAGTCATTGCTTCTCTGGTTTGCATACCACTGTGCGTAACGTGTTAGTTTTGCGCTCCACACCAATGGTGGCACTCTGACCTTGGACCGTGCAGCATTATGGGGAATCAAGAACTGGCTTGCAAAGCTTCTTTCTTGTTCTTGGTCTGGGTCAGCATTCTGGGGAATTGAGAATTGTTCTGGAAAGCTTATTTGTTGATTTTGGTCTAAGATCCTAGCATGGGTGGTTGTAACAAGCAACAGAAACAGGGCGACAGTGATGGTGATGAAACACATCAGGCTCATAGAGCGTGTGGAACTGGACTGGCTCATTTTGGTGTGGCTAGCTCTGGAGATTTGAGCAAGGAGAGAATGCTTTACTACTTGCTTGGAACTTGGAAGAGATGTAAACGTAGTGTGTGTATATATAATATAAGGCAAACCCTAGCATCAGAGACTTGATGAGAATGAGATCTGCGTCGCTAACTGTTGTATCACGCGTGTAGGCTAATCAGGCCGGGATTTCCTTTTCCAGCAGATTATCTGCTG